GAATTTATGTTAATAGTGGTTTTATTTATTTCGAACATGGTCTTAAATGTTAAACATTTGTTGCTCTACTTTTGGTAGAACAAGTGCTTGTAACTGAGTACATACACACATATGTTCGAGTATGTACACACGAGATCTCAGATACTTGTTGATAAAGTCATACAAATGAAGGTCCAATGTCTTTGTACAATTTTTACGATTCTGCTTTAGAGCTTGTTGAGTAAATATTTGTAGGTAGGCACGTACATATGTATGTATATATATATGTTAGTGGTGAAGCGAAATTTCAATGAAGTTAATTTACTATGTGAGTCAAGCCTACTGCTGTAGGCATTGATACACGTATATATGTATATGCATATTTGTATGAACGTATGTACATCCGCACATTTATTTAGATATAACGCTTTTATAAGACAAGCTACATGCAGACCTACTTACAATCTGGTCAGCACGTTTATGGATATGTTTTTTCCATATTTTTCTCTCAAAAAACTAAGCCCCTCAGTTGATCACTTGATAGCTTCCGCGACTTGTATGGCCCATTTCCGTCGTCAACGTCGTCGCCCGGCGCTCGCCGCCAACAACAACCACGCTACTAAACACTTGCTTGTAAATGCTAATTCGCCGCAGCTAAAAGTAGTGTGTGTCAGCTACTTTGTGTGTATCTACGCCTATGTATGTGAGTGAGTTACCCAACAGTTAGCAAGGGCGGCTCAAGTAAACAGCGGCAGTTTTCAATCAGATCTCAATGTTTATGAATTCATCAGCAATATTGTACAATAACAACATTATTTACTTAGCATACTTATGCGCATTAAAAATATTCCACATTAGTTGGAACTCATTTGCATTACATAAATTTACAGGTACTAATAAGTACATACTTACAGCCATCACACTATGTAAATAATACGTTTATGAATATATTTTTAGAGTGATGATGTCAATTCCAGACTAAATACTCGCAAATTTCCATATGACAGTATTAAAAAAGAAAAGTAAAAATATGGAGAGACCAAGAAATTTGATAAGCTCTATCACTCGAAGAAAATCTAAATCTAAGCGAAGACGGAAATCTCTTAGTCTAGGAAGGGCATGCTATGGTGCACGGATATCACGGCTTTCCTATCCCTGCAATGGCACAACAAAGTGTACTCGTATATGTAAAACTGATTCCCACGTCCAATTCACGTAGAAGAAACAACGCTGTGCCAGCTTTTGCCTTGGGAAATTTTTGCACAGCATGCATTTCCAAGCCTGAGAGAATACCCCTATTGGCACCTATACAAGAAGAAAGTATATTATATGTATATATATATATTATTATTTGAGGTGTTGTGTTCCAGAATTTTTTACAGTAATTTTTTACCATTAAATAGAGAAGAAAGCTTTCTGTTAAAAATCTGCAACGGGAAAAGCGCAAGGAAACGAAACCGACTACGAGGCGCACGAGCAGACTGCAATGCGTGAAAGCGTTCTTTTGCACTAAAATGACCTGCGAATTGTGGGTTATTTTGCTCTGGCATCTCTAATATTAAACAGGCATTTTAATGGTCTTCTAAAGCAAGTGAAATTTAAGTGAAATAAACAAATAAATTCCGAAATATTCATCTAAGGTTGTTTAGTCGTAAAAATGATGCATTTATGTGCACTCTCGTACGAGTATATACACAAACATATATGTATTTGATATTTAGTTAAAACAATAGCCCTGAAATAATTAGCTTTTTGCTTACTGATGCATAGCAAATAACATAAATTAAAAGTGTGCATTGAAAAGTAGACAGAATATATACATACATACATATATACATACATATATACATATGTACATACATGGAAATAATTTAGATTTAAAGTGAAGCACACTAAAATTGAAATTTTACTCCATAAATTTTAGTGAACACAAGCAGTGAGCAGTGTCAAGTGCAATGTCAAATGTGTGTGTGGATGTGTGTTTTGTGGTTGGTAGAGCGTTAATTTGAAAAGTGTTGGCGAATAATGACATTAAAAATTACTGTTATTAATGGCAATAATATGAATTCGCGTGAAATACTGAAGCATTGAATAACAACAAATGACCTTTACATTGCCCAAACAAAAGTATGTAAGTCTGAATGTATGTATGCAATGAAATTGGGTGAAAGAGCACAAATATTTTATAAGCATAAATTAAAAAAAAAATTAATTTAAATTAATACAGCAAAAAAATAAAAGCAATGATATATATGTATGTATGTATGTATAATAAAAAATAATAAGAATAAGGAAGACGTACAGCTAAAAAGTCATAATATGAAAACAGAAAGAGCAATAAAAACTAATAAATAATGAAAATTAAAACAAAGTGAATTCATGGCATTTTTTATTATACAACTTTTACATATGTACATATGTGGAGATCGGAGTAGTGTAATCAACTGCTTTGACACATTATATCTCTGCAATGTGTTTCGAATCATTGCCCTATTGGAAGTAAATCATATTTTCTAAGTTCAGATTTATCTTTTTAACATATTTCTTTAAAAGTGCCTTCGAATGTTCTTTCATCCATAATTAAGTCAATGCATGACGGTAGGCACCTCCAAATCATAACGTGCTTTACTCTAGGCACTTAGTGTTCCTCATTAAAGCCTAAGTCTCGCTTTTTCCCGAATAATTTTCGTCCTTTGATGCCAAATACGTAATATTTGCTCTCATCGGAAAATATAATTTTCTTTTTTCAAAGCTCTGGCACTGCAAAAGCATCTGACCATGTGGGCAAATCGTTTCCGACTAGTGTTCACATTTCTACCGTTTGAAAATTGCAATATTGGCACCACAAACATACAGATAAACAAAAACAGGAAATTACAGTGCAATAGCTGCGCAGTCATCAATAACCCCCAACAAAGACACACGTACAAACATAAACGTTGGCCAGCCATGCCACCTATGCAAGTGCAAGGCCACACAGAAACTTTTTAATCGCACACCTACATGCCAGCGCATAGATACACAAACACATACGTGTATGCATGAGGAGTATCTGCGCATCTCAGTCAAAATATTTTCCATTTTGTTTTCGGGGTGGACAACCGTATTTCCGGTCGGCTTGCAGTTTAGGTTGCAACAATGCAGTTCGCCACACACACATCCATACTCGTACACCCAAACGAGCCAATAAAGCGATTTCAAACCGTAAATTATTTTCAAATGCATTCCATATACGTGTTTCCTTATGCAGTTGCAGGTTGCCGATTGCAAATGGTGTGGCATGTCTAGTCCTTGTGACGCCTAGTCTACTATTGTTTTGGCCCATTACCATTACCCTTTGAGATTTCGGTTTTTTCTCCTACTGGGGGGTGGCTTTGCATAGTAAGAAGGTGTACGGGAAAGAAAGGCGGACGGCGCAGTCACCTTTCGGTTGCATCCGCATACAATCGGTTTTTGTCTGTTTTAGCGGAAATTTATATTTGAAAGTTTTTAGGCTGCAGACGAGTTATCAAAACCGCACAGACCAGTAAGTCTTAGAAGCGGCCATGTGTGCAGAAAATTTGGTTTCATAAGGTTTTTCGATACATCTAAATTTATTATTGGTAGAATTTCACATACATAAAATAATTTCGTAAATTGTTTCAGCAACGAAATAATTATGTCTCTTCTCAGGAAAAACAGACGGAGCCCAAAATGGCACAATACTAACAACGATATGTGAGGAAATCAAGAAATCTCTCTTGAATAGAATTTTCCAGTGATTTTATGTTTTTAAAATTAATTGTAGTGCATTGCGGTGTAGTATTAACGAATCCATTATTTTTGTGATTTATGACTTCAGTGTTCTGTAACTCGCGTTAGATAAGTGCTATTGGATTACGTTAGATGGCGTTAGGGAGATGATATTTTGCAGTAAAAAAGATAAGGGGAGAAGTGTTGATTTCTTAACTCTGGGCTGGTTCTTATGCATCCACCTTATGCATCCACCTTATACTCCATACCTCACACCAAGTGACTATCATCTGTTCCTGTCTGTGGCGAGAGGTTTGGCTGGTGAAGAGTTGGCCTCAAGGGAAGCCAGTGAAAATTGATTGCGACATAGCGAATAGGGACAATCAAAGCAAACTTTTATACGTGAAATTATTAGAGAAGAAAAATTGCAGGTTTTATCTTGAGTATACACACATACACATACACGTATGTAAAAAAAGTTTTAAGCCTTCCTTTTCGATTTTCGAAATTGTTAAATTAAAATTTGAAAGTGCATTTGGGATGTGCACCATCTGTTTGTTTATACTATGCAGGTGTGTATGTATGTGAGCGATTGACCAAATGTGTGTCAACACCAGTCAAATGGGCTGCATATGTACGTGAAGTTACAAATTAATGGCTAAACAATTACCTTTTATTGCAAGTACAATAGTTTAGAAACAAATAAAACGATTAAATGCAACAACAATAACAAATGAAAATCACCGCGTCTCAGTTAAAGATAATAAAATTTCGCTGATTTTTATCTAACCAACAAACACTTAAGACACAAATCAACACCGACTCTGGACTTTATTTACTTTGCGGCCACTTTTATTTCTATTGTCTAATTGAAAGTTGAGTCAAGTTTAACACAAGTGGCGCTCAAACACACACATATGTATGTACATATTCACACATGCATCTGTATAAACATATGGACTAGTAAAGAAAAGGGCCAAGGCCGCGAGCCGCAATTGTATATCTCCATGGCGTGACACAAATCGAAAGCCAGTTCGCGAGAGTGGCGGCTGGACGGGCCGGGCCACGCAACGGGCGACCGACCACACTGGCGCACAAATTAAATCGTAAAAGCAGCATTTAAGAAAGTTGTTGATAAAAAGTGGTTGAAAAAGAAAAAAGTGAAAAGCAGCTACACTTGGGCCACCAAAACACGTTTACTGCTGATTTTTATTTGTTATTTTTCATTTGTTTATTGTTTTGTCATGTGTATGTGAGGTTGTTTGTTTATTTGATTTCGCATAACTCACCTGAAAAATCATATATCCCGAATCGTACATCCAAAAATCCTCCGGCGTATGACCGGGCTTACTCAGTTGTATGGCCAAACAGCGTTGCAATATCAGACGGCAGCGTTGCGGTCCGCCAGGCGATTTCGTGCCCATTGTGCTGTTGATGATGTTGCTTGTGTTGTTGTTGTTTTTGAGTTGAAAAATCTTGGTGTGATTTTTTATTTGGAACACTTGAAATATTTTTTCTTCTCTCGATATATTATATTACCAAGAGAAATAGCACTTGCTTGTGATAAATGGATTTATTGAATTTTTCAAAACTTATTTCTGATTGAAAAAACTATTTTATATTTTATTTTTGATTTTCCTCATTACATTACATCTTCAAAATTTTGTTATATGTATACATGTATTGTAGAATTATCTACAGATTTTGTAATTTCACACACTTTTGAGAATTAAAATTCCATTTATGCGTTTCTTTTTCGTATGAATCGCCGTTTCTTCCCAGGAATTTCGCTAATTTTTTTAATTGATTTAACTTTTCTTCGAATTTGTGAACTCATTCCCATAAAAATCACTTATTTTATTATACATACATCCGTTAAATCAAAATTTACTCTTAGTTCACCAACGTTACTATTATAACTCTTCGATTTTGCAAATTTAATTTTTCACTTAAATACCACCACTGGATGTAATCAGCATCTTTTCGGTTGCGAATTTGCACTTTTTCCTCGATTTCCCCTTTTGCTTCGTTAAACGCCTGCGCGACGCACTTTATTTAGTATCCTTTTCTTTCCTTCGTCGAGGCGCAGTTCAAAAATACACGTTTAGCAGTCACGTTCTTGTCGCACAACACACCACTCACCCACATCACTCACTCATCTCATGAAACACCGTAAGCCTCAACTTCATCGTACTACACTCGTCGGTAGTTGAATTCGTACTGTCGTCGTCGGCGCGTTGCGGCTGTTGACGAAGTCACTAGCGCCGAACAGCTCGCTCGCCAAGTCTCGTGCCGTGTGCTCCACCAATGTTGGGGCAAGCAGCAGCAGCCTCAGTGAAGTCAGCAAGAGTTATAAAGTCGCAATATGCCAAAAGTTGAAAATCAACAACAAAAAGTAGCGATTGCCGTGCCGACTGCTGTAGCAGTAGAATTTCAGTACACGGCACAAGCACCAGCAGCGATGAAGAGCTAAAAACTTGAGCAAAGTTGATGATCACGACAGCTACAACGACGGCGACAACGACGACGCTGCGCAGCTCATTGAAGACACCGCCGATGTTTGAACGATCTAAACTACGAGCACTTCGCAATCGTGGTGCGAGTATTTCTGTGGCTCGCAGTGGATGCTAAGTATAGTCCATGATGCGACGTTAGCTCTGACACTTTCAGTTGGAGGTGGATGGAGGTGTGCTTGTTCGTTTCTTTTCAGGTCGGGTGATCAGCTGCTGGATCTGTAACGAGAGACGGAAAGAGTGAATGAGAGCGAGTGAGAGATAAGAAGAGTGAAGCTTTGAGCACAATGTACAAGAAAAAAGAAGCAGTTGAAGTTAGGTAAGTTGGATGGAAATTGCTACCTTTTGGCGTGTGGAGCGTAGGTGCGCTAAACAAATTTTAGCAATTCGGAGATACGGAGTTCGGAGTAAGAGCTCGCAAGAATCGGTAACAGTCCGCAAAAATAAGCAACAGAATAAGAAAAAATATCATTTTATGGAGATCGGACACGTACACACACAGCACATTCGTATTTGGCTGTGAATTTTTGTATTGTGTAAAAAAGTGGCAGATCGAGTTCACACATAACAGGCCCAGCTCCGCGTCGAATGTGTGATGAGCGACATCTCGTAACTCACCTTAAGAAATCGCAAAAAAATATAGTTTTTTATGTTGCCGTTTGTGTAACTAAAGCTCATACCTAACCACTTGTTGTGCTGGTGATTTCTCACCAAATCGGAATTTCTGGGCTCGTTACTTCTCACACACACATCTGCTGTGTGTCTCATGCCAAACTTATTTTAATCAGCTCTGCTATGGAGCCACTGCAGGTGGAACATTGGAGTAGTATATATGTATATGCCAGATAAATCAGAAGTTAAGCTCATTTGTAACGGTTGTACTTGATTCCTGAAGCAATTCTTAATTAGTTGTATAAATAGCAAGCAAAGAGACATATTAGTACAAAATGGGAAGACAAGAGGATTTGATAGAGAATGATGTCCGCCATTTTTTACCCTCTAGATAATACTCAAATTGTCGGAAGCCGGCAGACGTTCTAAAGTTTCCACTGAGACAATACTTTTCTCGGAGTTGGTCTTTTAGACAGCATAGACTCAGTATAGCAGAGTATTGAAAGAGTAAGCCGTTAGCCGTGACGGTCACTTGCCCGATATCATTTTGAAAACATAATGGCAATCTCTTGTCTTTATAACAAGGCTAAATTCCAGGCTGTACCACTGAATTAAAAGCAAGCGTTTTGTTTCTTCTTTAAAACTGCATGTCTTAAAAACACCTTTAATGCATTACACAGACTAGATAGGTTATCCTTAACAGTCGGAACTCGTTCAACCAGAAAGCACTTGCAGTTTATCTTCACTTCGCCTAGGTATCTGACTACCACAGGTTATATGCTAGGGGGCTTCAGTTTAAGTCTGCTTAGTGAATAATCCTTGCTGCCTGCTCATTGGTGAATTACAGTCTAAATTTCCAAGGTTTACCTGGGAGTTTTCGGATAGGTCACCAGGTGAAAGGCTGCCAAAAATACTTCTATAGTTGCCATGAATGTGTGTCAAAAAAACTCTCTAATTAATTCGGGTAATAAACGAATTCTTTACTCGCAGTGCGGTTAAGCGTTATGCAAGTTCGAAATCCAGTTTAAGTTAAATCTGCGAAATTCGTTTGAAAAGATTTATTATCCCATTCAACAGTGCCGAGTTCTTCAAGTCTTGATGTTTTTGCAACATTGCGATTTTAGCGTACGTAATTTATCATTATACGAATATAACAACAACAACAACAAAGTGCTGCTGTGGTCGCTCATCTTGTTCTGCTCTATTTAAACAAGGTTAAGCTAACAAATTAGTATGTATGTATGTATGTAACAAATGTATATATATATATTATGTATCACATATGTACGTATGTATATAAGGTTCTTAAAGTTGGAGAATAATTTGGAAGTACAAGTAATGTGAAAGATTACCGAGTTCAAGAATCTTATAAATCTCGTTCCTGAATGAACAAGCTCAGCAGCGGCACAGCTTTAATGTGCAAAATTTACGACTTGTGAGATATTTTCTTTTACGTGATTTATTTTTTTTTACTTAAAAATATTTACATTTTTTGCTTTTTTCATAAACTTTTTATTTTTTTTTAATTAACTTTGTTGTTTGTGTATGTGCGCTTGAAGCTTTATTGCTTCGAGCGAATATTTTGAAACTCATTAGTGGAAATATTAATTTAATTGCTTAGTCGTGGTTTGCGGACACTTTTTGAGTTTTTCAATTTAAAAGATATTTTTATTTCATTAGTAATTGTAGATCTGGCTTTTCTTTTAGCTATGAGCTTAATTTAATTTCAGAGTTTATTAATTTCATTCGAAACCAGTCTCCGTATGAGATTTTCAGATTGCCTTTGAAATTTTTAAGCTTTAAATGAGTAAGTGATGAGGTCTTATGCCTTTGACGGCCTTTTCAGTACAGTTATTTAGAGGTTTGCAGATCGCAAAGGTCAGAACAGAAAACTGGTTCAGTTTATTACAGTTTATTACTATATAAGAAGGAAGCTTGGAATCCCTTGAGATCTAATCAAGCCCGATTTTTCTATTTTTTGTTTATTAAAGTTTGCTTTTGTTTTAAATTAACTCACATTTGTGAAAACGATGATAAATATGATTTGAAGTGTTTAGAAATTCAACATTTGTTCTTCGACTTTATTTTGAAAAAGAAAGAAAACAACTTTTTAAATAAAAGAACTCAAAAAAAAAAAAATTGAAGCAAAATTTTTAAGATTTTTTTTTTTTAATTTGGCATTGTCTTTTTTATGTTTATTTGGATTTGCTATTTGCTTAGTCAATTGGTTAAGCGATGCTGCTAATGCTGCATAAATATTGAAGTTTATTTGGATGTTTTATATCAAATTACAGTGTAAGGGCGTGTCTATGCAAATTCATATGTGTGTAATTTCACAGCTTTGTAATTTTAAATCTGGTTGTATATATATTTATATAAAGTTATATATATATATATTCAATGCACAGTGCACGTATTAAAAACACCATTAAATTGGCTATAATTGTGAAAAGTGTGACCACAATTGGTAGAACGATTTTTGATAAAAAAATATTCCACTAAATAAGTATTGAAAACAGAAATTCCGTCTCGACTCTGAAAACCCGTATGAAGCCTTTTTTTGTAATTGATAAATATGCTTGTGGACACATGAAATTAATTTAAACTGTAATTTTAAAATATACAATAAGAAAATCATTTATTGTTATTTTCAGGGTTAAGGCCACAATAAATATTTCGAAAAAGATTTAAAAAATTGTAATGAACAGTTAAGTGGCCATTTTTCTTTTGGTCAAGAAAATAGTTTTTCTTCAATTAATTTCCAATTACTCAAATATTAGTACTCTGTAGATCTCTTTCGTAGACTAAGGGAACAAATTCTATTTTGTTTCAGATTCTGTAACCTGCGTGCCGCGTAGCTCGTTCAACGAAAACACAAAACTGAAATGTCTACAGTTCCGTCATTTCGTTACATAATTCATCGTAATTTTTTATTCCATTCTAAGGCTAAAACTTTCCAAATCATCGTAAATTTATTCCTTTCCCTTTCGAAGGTTAAAAATAAGTAATAAATAAAAAATTTCAGCTCGAAAAGAATTTTGGTTTTAAATGTAGATCTCAAATGCATGTGAGATCGTGTTAGTCTCATTTTTTTATATATGAAGTTCAGGTTGGCGCCGATGGGCTCAATTACATTTTATGCAGTATTTTCTTTTAGAATAAAAAATGCCCAGCTGAAAAATTAGTTTATATTTTTATTAACCAAAGTCTTAATTTCCTTTTATTTAGGCGAACATTATTTTTAAAACATCGCACAGGCTTTTGCTTGCTTTACATCAGCAGCATAAATATATATATATATAGTAATAAACCCAACACTACGTGTATGCAAGTATGTGTGCACTAATATCTTCGTAAATCTACCTTGGTTAAATGTATATTTATTTCTATAATGCCTATTCATGTCAATTTAATGTTTATTAAGTAATTACGTTCTAATATTTTTCAAAACTTCACATGACTGCGCTCAATTTTTAAATTTTCTTAAATACTTGGTGGAGCTGAGATTTTGTGTGCGAGTGAGCGTGTACTGCCAATCAAACGGACCAATAATGCCAACATTGTGAACGGTTTGGCTGAAATGCCATGTACCAACATATATACATGCATTTATACATGTACATACATAAACCTACATAACATACAGACATACATCGAAGTCAACGTGTCAACTCCAAATTTTGCCTTATGATCTCATCGCCCACATAATATTATTTTTTCCCGCTGCCAATATTTTTTAACATTTCGTTACTGTTGTTGTTCCTTTTTTAAGATATTTCACTAAAGTTTATTTTGCCTTTGGCATTTGGCATTTAAGGGGTTTGACCATCTAATAATGGTACAACAAAGCTTGTACAAAAAAAAGTGGTATTGTGGTTGCCTTTTTTTTTTTTTTTGCTTAAATTAAAGATTAATGTTTTCATGTGGACATGTATTTATACATATTTACAAGTGTTCTGTACAGTGTCATTTTACGTTCATTTTGGCAAACAATTTTACTGTGAGTCTCGATGTCTTTTGCGGTTCATATTTCACCGCTTTTGCCTTTATTTTCTATTTCCGAGCCAATAACAAGAGAATTTACTTAATTTCAAAAGCACAAAGCGAGCGAATGGGTCTCTAAGTGATTGGTCGACTGCTTATAAGTTTTGAATAAATTTGTTTACGAAATTTTCGTTAGAGAAAAGGTACCGCGCTTAGCCCTATTGTCCGCGTATGTGGCTTGCATGCCAATTAACGGTGCAAATATTAGCTATTCTTCGCTCATACAAGCTGTGGATAAATATACAGATATTTAGTTTTATGTATGTCCATATGTGCGTTTGTTCATAGGCATAAAAACACATTTCAATTCCAGTTTTTCGCTAAGAAGAAACGATCGATTATGTCTATTATTAATAGGGAAGAAAGAGATTTTAGTAAATTAAAGAAGCGAAGCTAATTATATGAGCTCTTTTCTTAATGTAAATCACATGAACCCGTTATAACTCAACTGGAAGAAAAATAACAAAGTTCCTCTGTTTATTTTATAATCGAATATATGGATTTAAAACTTATTCCACAAGAAAGCGTGTTGTTTTGGCTTTTAAAAATCGATAAAAAGTTAT